AATTTATATTTTATGTGATACTAGTCATAGTGTTCGTGTTTAATTCTGCTAGTCTATGTTTATAGTATCTGGTAGACCCCTTCTTCTTCACATATGATAAAGGTAATAGTTGTGTGTTTTAATTTTTCAGTGCTTAGGCTCAAACACTAGGTTTCCTACATGTTAGGCAAGCACTCTGGTAGTGAGCTATTATCCCTCCCCCACCACAGATACTGTACAGTATTCTTTCACAGAGCTGCACACACATGACACATAGCGACCTAAAAAGAGTAGTTGATTGGTAACTTATAATTAAGTTTATGTAGCTTTATCTTGCTTTTGTTTATAGGATGAGAGATACTTGATGAATATGATTATTGTCAACTGAAAAACGAGAACAGAATTAGTGAAGTGGTTTCTCTAACTTCTTAACACCTTGCTTTTCCTCTAGTGTTTGTGTTCCTCAGGATAGTTCACGTGGGTATGTGATTCCACATCTTCAAAAGATTGTTTTTAGGTCAGAAAAAAATTAAAATAACCTTAACATCAACAGGTACTGAACATTTTGTCATCAGTCCAGATGTTTTTTTTTTAAGTCGTTGTAAACTACAATTAATGGAATATAATATCAAAAATCACAATCCAGCTTGAGAAAGAAGCCTATTTATAGAGGGAACTTAATAAAATTGAGTTACATAAATTTCTACATGTTAAATGATAAGAAATAAATACAGATATATGCAGTGTGAAACTGGATCTACCTGCTGGCTCTTAAAATAGTAATACTTTTTTTTGCTTTAAAAAACACTGAATTTTGTGTGACTAAGAAAAATCAATGAACATGTAGTTTTCACCAAGGAACATCACCTTACACCTATTTAAGGTCATTGTAGTTTTAACTTTGTGTGGTTTTTTTTTTTTGGTGTGTTTCTAATTAAAATATATGTCTTCTTATTAGGAAACTAATCTTGCAGACCACAAGGTAAAAACTCATGTCCTTCTAATGCTAAGTTTCATGGCCTCTTCTTCTTCACTTTGTATTGATTGTTGTGGGGGCTTTAATATTTTCACAAAAAAAAAGTATCCAATCAGTGAAAATGTTCAATACTGTAGTGTTTCTGACTCTGACAAGTTAGTGTTTGTTTAGCATTATCAGTATCCCCCTGTCTAATATGGATGTACATTTGTGGATAACTTACATCAGTACCATCTTTTTCTTTGTTGCCTACATCCTCTTTATTAGTCTTACTTTTTTACTAGAGGACTGAGAAACAATGAAGTCAGTGTGTGTGTGTGTGTGTGTGTGTGTGTGTGTGTGTGTGTATTTGTATTCTTTGAAAATTTCAAACCTTTATACAATGTAGCTTGATCACATTCATCACCCAGTATCTACTTCCAAATCCATAATCTCCCTGAAAATAACCCCTCCCAACTTCATACTCTTTTTATTTTTTCAATTTTTATTTTTAATGTATTTTGAGTAAAATATAATTGACTCACTTTCCCCTTTCCCTTTACTCCTTCCAACTTATTTCATGTGCCTGTCTCACTCTCAAATTGATAACCTCTTATTACTTATTACTTATTATTAGTATTTTTATTTCTGAAAGTTGGAAACACAGTGAATGAATTACCCAGGGCTAGTGAAGTCATGCATCTTAAAGACAAACCACTTCAATAACCACCATAATTTGTAACTATACTCTAAATATTTATCCTTATACACACAGATAACTGTTGTTTTTCCATTACATCAAAGGAACTTCCTTTAGCAACAGATGGAGACCATTACAGAGAGCACAACTGATCAAAACACAGAGAACACGAGACTACGGTGCCTAGTTCAAAATGATACATCTACAACACAACTCCTGCATGTAATGCTCGGGGATCTTTGCAGAAGAGGAGGAAGAAATATCGTAAGAGCCACAGAAGTAGGAAGTTTGCTGTGACATGTGTGTCTTGTCTCACAGAAATGTCAGAGAAGCTACAATCAGGAAATCTCATTAACAAGGCTGCCTTACCAAGGCCCAAACAATGGTGACACCGCTAGATATGCTCATAAAGAAGAAGGAAATCTCAAGGGCCTCAACCCTAGACAAAAAACTATGGGCAACAGGGGGAGACTGAGAACAGGACAAAGTCTTACCCATGGAAAAGCTTCCCGAAACCATTATCCAGTACTGAGTGGTCAGTCCTGAAATCATATACATACAAGTAAACATTTCAGAAATGGAACAGGTTATATTTATATAGCTGTGTATATATATATATATATATATATATATATATGTGTGTGTGTGTGTGTGTGTGTGTGTGTGTGTGTGTGTAGTCTATATACACACATATGTATAAATATGAGGACAATTAAAAAAAGATAATGAATTCAAGAGAAAACAAGGCATATGCTTGCCTGGTAGGGTTTGGAGAGAAAAGAGAAGGGAAACAAGATATAATTCTTTTATGATTTATATATGTATATGTCACTTGACCTAAATGAATAAGGTTGGGATGCCTAACTCATTTGTAATGGAACCACAGAAAGTCCCAGGTCAAGATGAGAAGAGAGACTCCTAACACTGAACAGTAAGAAGATAATGAAACCTAGAATTTCTAGAAATCTTGCCTAAGGTGCTTAAAGGCTATCACACCTAGGAAATTTAATGAGTATAAAAGACTAACAATGAAGTCACTGGAAGTGGAAACAGTTACCTGCATAGCAGCTTTCAAATTCAAAGAGGAGGTCTGCAAAATGAACTCCAGCCCAAATGCAGGAACAGCTAAATATGACTTCATTGTGACATCACAACTTGGGACACAGGACTTGTATGAGTGGACCTAGATCTAACTTGGAGACGTCCTTCCTGAAGTGTAGCTTCCAAAGCATCATAAAGTCTTATGCAAGCTGCAAAGGAAGGGAAACAATAGATTTCCAGCCAGGAAGCCTATGAACCACAACACTGACCAACATCGTGAACACACAGAAAGGTGCAATAGTGGCATTCTTTTTCTTGAAGGTAAGCAACAGCTCTCCAGTAATTCATTCACTGTGTTTCCAACTTTCAGAAATAAAAATACTAATAATAAGTACCATTCTCATTGAGCTGACTCAAGAAATATTACAAGACATTTTGTTTTCAGATGGATATAAACATGTCCCTCTTCATGGCAATAACCATAATGTTTGTATCCATGCTCTTGCTGAATATTACTGTGTAGCTAAGAGTCATCAGGTCAATTGTGGTCTTCTTTAATCTGTAAAATATTGTAGTGGCTCTAGATTTTATTCTGCCGAATTGACATTTTCTCTGTCGCTGTCTGCTAACTGTGTGAGGTTAGCCTGGAAGGTAGACTGGTCCATTACTCATCCATTACTGTTTAGATTTGCCTGTTGAGGTTTCTTTTTTTTTGCATAATTGTTCTATTGTCACTATTTTAAAAAGAAAGACAAATCTCAGTTCTTAATTGTGGTATGGTTAGCAAGAAGATGCTGCCACAGCCTACTGCCAATACAAATTTCTGTAAACATCTATAAATATCTTACATTTAACATATTTAATATAATATGTTCCTAGATTTCAAAAAAATAAACATCATGAAAATATTTATTGGATACTTATTGTGTAGCAGAGAGGTGCCATAATGGGAAACAGTTCAGAAAGAAACATAATTCCTACCCTCAGGGAGTTCTCCATATAATGGAAGTTGGTGACAGCCTTATCAGTCACTTTATTAATATCGCTAAGTGACTCGCATATGTCTTTCTTTTTAAGACTGTTAGCTTTAGATCAGCCTCTTGTTCATGCCCTTGCTTGGTGATTATAGAAAATTTCAATGTTCTTTTAGGGTCAGGAAATTATGACTTTGATCTTGTAAAGATGACATATGTGTCTTTTAGAGAATCATATATTTCTGAATGGTGAGAAATTAATTTTTTCACTGGTCACTTCATTGTAAGGAAGTCATAAATGAATAATGCACAGGTTGAGCTTGACACATTAAAAGAGACCTTGAGGTAAAAGAAGAAGCCTTAAATCTACTGAGATGGTTCTTAGAATAATTTAGAAGTCCGTATGGGTGTTTTTGTATCCTTGAAAACTCTTTGAATGGCAACTCTATACACCGGGTTATGTTAAACTTTCCCTTACTCAGCTGCTTGTCAAGAGTCCAAGAATTGTTTCATTCCTGAATTAAGAAGTATGGAGATCCATTCCAGTCTTGTTTTATACACCTTCACTCTGTATGACTTTGGGAAAGAAGATATCTTTCCAGAACCCCAGGTTCTTTATCCATCTACGTTCACAAGATATGAAGAACTGCACTCTCCTGGCTTTGTCCTCTGAAATAGGCTTCAGTGTTCTGAAGATGACGAGAAGTTATGAAGAAGGCAAAGAAGTTATAACGTACTCCATAATGTCTCAAGGATAAATCAAGACACATGTGTGCACAAGGGAAGCTCTTTGTGCTGCTGCTGCTCATCCGGGGAAGCAGGACTTTAAAGGAATCTTTTAGGACAGCTAACCAGATTTTACCTAAAGTATAAAATGTAACCTCTAGTTCAATATCAATGTTAGTTTTTCCATTCATGTAACTCAAATGATGAAGTCTGCTTAAAGAAAGTAGAGTTTTTAAAGAAATACTTTCATTTTAATTTAGGTAATTTCACTGTGAATATAATTTATTTTATTAATACAAAGTACTTATGTTAATCTTGAATGTTATCACATCGGTATCTCTGAAGGTCTGATTACATGTTTCAATATGTACTTTCCTTAGGGAAAATGATTGATATAATCATCTTATAATTGTAACTACATTCCTGGTGTGTCTGTTTATGTGAAAGAAAAAAGGTACAAAGATAATGATGCTGATTCTAATGAGGGAGTAGTACTAGCCTTGTAGGATTTATCTAATGATAGCCTATCTTTATTTTTGTAGCATGTTCTTACTTTCGAAGCTTGTCCTTTTGATCATGTACTGAAGTCATAGCTTATTCTTAACTTTCTCTCTTCAACATGTAGGGCTGTGATCTTATTTCAACTCCTGACCAAGATCATACTGATTTTACCAAGTGTCTTCAAGTGCTCCAAAGGAAGATAGAAGAAAAAGAGTTGCAGGTAAGATGTGTCCCTATCGGAAAGGAAGGTCTGCTAGTCAAGATGCCAAAAACCATGTGTATTTATTTCTGTGATGTTACTTTTGAGTTTTCACCATTTTTTTCCCTTGTGTATCACTTAAATCTGAACTGAGCTGGGTAAACAAATAAGTGTGCATAGATAGGAGACCACAAATTTTGATGGCTTAGAACTATAAATAAGTGAACTGGACCACATGTAATCCGAACAGATATTTTTCCCAGCTTAGAGTAATCAGCACATCATCATTTCTCACATACTATTGCCAGTTAGAGCTATGCATGTTTTGTAATATTTCGATTTAAATGTTGTGTCTTGTGTATACAAAACAGATATGGGCTTGATTTGGCACATGAGCCATCATTGCAAAGTTTATGTAATGAAATTAAAATACTGCTTCTATTGTATTTTATCTAGAGAAGGCTTTTACTGATTTGCATTTGTGTATTCTTTAATGATTTTCATCCATCACACAAATGTTCAATTAAATTAGTTAGTACACAGCCTACATTTCTTATACTTTCATTACCTGTTGAAGTGGTAAGAAATTTGTTTTAGGTCTTTCTTTAAATGAACATCTAGAAAATTACAACTGAAGCATTGAATGATAAATTTTTATTGTTTGATCTGGCAAGGGCAATAAGTTAAGCCAATATGTATTATCAGTTGTATAATTTTATACCAAGGAAACACCCTTGAATATTAGAATGCTTTTGATAGCACAAGTATCAGCAAATGCTTGCTAATCTGCTATCTTTAGTCTACTGCAGAAAGGAAGCCAGCAAGCACGCCTCAGACAGGTCCTTACTCTGCTTGATTTACATTCACATGTTGTGTGGCTTTGTCTTCACAAGGCTTCCTTGATGGCATTGCTGCCACCAGTACCGTTTACCCTTTGCAGCAGAGAGGGAAAGTTATGAAGAATTTCTCATCCTTTTCCACCACCAGCCAACTTCACTCTCAGAATCTCTCTATTTTACCACCCATGGGTTGGCAAGAGAGGACGAGGGTTCACTGTCTGCTGTGTAGAATGAAGACTGAGCTTGATCCACTGGGTTGTTTATTCAGAGTACCCAATATCCATCTGGCAGAAGGCATGGTGTGGGAAAAGCAACTCTAATAAGAACTTATTCTTTAGCAATGAGGTCCCTCAGAGATTTATTCCAGCATATATATTCTAAGTTAAGAGAATAAATCTTCTTCTCTATTTGAAGAAAAACCTTGTTAACTGTCATAATTGGCAAGTAGTTCAATGTGCAGACACAACAAAAACAATTCAGTGAACATTGCTGAACTATACTAAATATTTTGTGCTATTTTTCAGCAGTAAATTGCTATAATTTAGTATTTGTTTACTAAAAAAAAGAAAAGAAAACAGCCAATTGAAAATTATCTACTTTAAACACATATAGCTGATTTGGGGTTTATTAAGAAAAAATTGTAAATCTTTGCAACTGTATCTCTCTCTATTTTTCAAGCACTTCTGTAAAAATTATCAAAAATAGAAATGTAATTATGTGATTCCCATTTTATATAATTAATAGTATCTATAATACAGTGTTTAGTCATTGTGTTTCAAAAGAAACAATTATATCTCAACTCAACAAGATCCCCACATACAGAAAACTCCCAAACTAAGGTAAAAGAAATGATCTGGAAAAAAAACAATGAAAATATCAAAATAAGCAAATAATAATTGCTATTATTATTATTATTAAATATTATTATTACATCCAATCAGTGAGGATGAGGTACCTGCTAAGGACCAGCAAGTGTGCACTCATAGCAATGACTTTGTCTTCCAGCTGTGCTGGTCCTAGGTCTGCTGCTTCTGGGAGGAATGTGTTTGGCTCTGGGATTTTCAGGGAACAGCTTGGACTTCTTGCACTGTGTGCCAAAGGAGTTGCAGCTGGGTAGTGGCATGCATGAACTGCTGTGTGGAGGAAAATGCACTCATCCCTGCCCTAGTGTCCACAGCCTCTGGCATGCTCCGAACCTGCATCTTCAGTCCTATACTTGGTGGATCTTTCTTACAGCTCCCAAAATCTACTACATTCCCTCCTCTTCTGTCCCCAGGTAATTCTATGTGTTTGTCTCTTTATTTGAAATCCTGTTTTGTTTTGTTTTGTTTTGCTTTGCTTTGCTTGCCTCAACCTTCCTTGACTGATTTGCCAGCCTTTTCTTAGTTGCCATGTAGCTTAGGGTCCACTCCTCCTCATTTCCGTATAGCCCCTTATTTCTCCTTCAGGGCATGCTGAACACTTTAAAGCATTTCGTTGTTTCGAATTATTTGCACCAAGTTTTTCTTCACATCTTTGCTATCCATCCCAGGAAGCTGGGGTCAGGTGCAGGTGCTAGAGGCTTAATGGTAGTGCATTGTATAAGGAGGTACTCAGAATATTTGGTGAGTTTGATATTTTGTATGCATAAAGAGAAACAGTTATAGGAAGGCTTTTCAGGGGGGGCTCTGACAGGCTAATAGGAGCTAAGCAGAAAAGAAGAAAAGCAAGTTTAAAATCCACACTGTACAACAAGGACAGATGGCTTGGTAAAGGCAGGAAACACCTTGTCCATTCTTCAGGGCCCCAAATAGGCCTGAGAATTAAATTAACATGAGCTGGATCAATAGAATAAAAGTGTGTGCGTTTATTTAATAGAGATTTTACATAGCATGAGAATCATTGAAGAGGTATGAAATCCCAAAGTAGCACTTAGGAACAGTTACTTAAATAATAGGCTAGACAAAGATTTTCAATGAAATAGATTTTTTCATACAATATATTCAGATTAAGGTTTCCCTTCCTCCTCCTCCCAGTTCCTGCTCACCTCCCCTTCTTTCCAGATCTACACCATTCTGTCTCTCAGTAAAACATAGACACCTAAGGAATAATAGTAAAATAAAATAAGGTAAAACAAAACAAACAAGCCAAAATATGACAGAACAACCAGGCAATAGAAGGAGCTAAAGAAAAAGCATAAAAAAAAAACCACATAGGCAGAGAGACACACATTCACTCACCCAGGAATCCCGAAAAGCACAAAACTGATAGTCATAATATAGGTGCAAAAGACCTATATGATTAAAAAATAACTCTGGCAGCATTATGAGAAAAAGATGTTACTGAGTTTGTTTTGTCTTTGTTATTTACCTTCCTGACATGGAGTCTACCCTTAAGAGTACTTTGTTTCCCCCAGTGAGATGCCCCTAGAGAAAACTGAGTCAATTGGAGATAGCTTCTGGTTAGGAAAGGAGCTGTGTGTCCATTTCTCCTTTCAGCTCCAAGGACCTCCATCTGGACCATACCTATGCAAGCCCTGTGCATGCTGCTTCAGTCTCTGTGAGTTCATATGAGCTTTGATCCTGTTGATAGGGGGCCCTGTTTTCTTAGTGTCCTGCACCCCCTCTGGCTCTTACTCTTTTACTGTCTCCTCTTCCACAGATCACCCTGAACCCTGAGGGAAGGAATTGATGGAGACATCCCATTTAGGGTGAAGTGTTCCAAGGTCTCTCACTTCCTTCATAATGTTTGGCTTTAGGTCTCTTTATTTGTTCCCATCATCTCTATAGCAGCAATCTCTGGTGATGGGTAAGCAAAGCATGGATCTGCTTTCTTGGCCATGGAATGGACAAAGAATATTAATTGTGGAAAAACACCTAAATTATGTGCATAGGCATATTTTATTAGTACCTTATCTACCACCATACAAAATTCTTTTATTGTTCTTATCTTTGGAGATGAGCTGTATGTTGCCTCTTCTACACAGGGACTAAGTATGTGTTTTTAAGAAACACTGTGAAGCTTTGTCTCTATCTCCATCCATCGCCAGATGAAGGTTCTATGGTGATATGCAAGATATTCATCAGTATGGCTATAGGATCAGGCCATTTCAGGCTCCCTCTCCTCAGCTGCCCAAGGAAATAGCTGGGGACATCTCCATGGACACCTGGGAACCCCTGTAGAATCAAGTCTCTTGCCAACCCTAAACTGACTCCCTTAATTAAGATATATACTTCCCTGCTCCCATATCCACCCTTCCTCCATCCCAACCATGCCATTCCCCCAAGTTCTCCCCATCCTCCCCTTCTCACTTTTCTCTCCCCATCTCCCCTTACCCTCATCCTACCCCCACCCCCAAGTTCCCAATTTTTGCCCGGCAATCTTGTCTACTTCCAATATCCAGGAGGATAACTATATGTTTTTCTTTGGGTTCACATTCTGATTTAACTTCTCTAGGATCAAGAATTATAGGCTCGATGTCCTTTATTTATGGCTAGAAACCAATTATGAGTGAGTACATCCCATGTTCATCTTTTTGGGTCTGGGTTACCTCACTCAGGATAGTGTTTTCTATTTCCATCCATTTGCAAGCAAAATTCAAGATGTCATTGTTTTTTATGTAGTACTCTAATATGTATATAATCCACACTTTCTTTATCCATTTTTCCATTGAAGGGCATCTAGGTTGTTTCCAGGTTCTGGCTATTACAAATAATGCTGCTATGCACATAGTTGAACAAATGCTTTTGTAGTATGATAGAGCATCTCTTGGGTATATTCCCAGGAGTGGTATTGCTGGATCCTGGTCAATGAGGGCTGACTGGGAAGCCAAGGACAATGGCACTGGGTTTTGATCCTACTGCACTTACTGGCTTTGTGGGAGCCAAGTCTGTTTGGATGCTCACCTGCCTAGACCTGGATGGAGGGGGGAGCACCTTGGACTTCCCACCGGGCAGGGAACCCGCACTGCTCTTTGGACTGGAGAGGGAAGAGGAGGGGAATGGATGAGTGGAAGGGAAATGGGAGGCGGGGAGGAGGCAGAAATTTTTAATAAAAATGTTGAAATAAGAGCGGCAGCAGGGCTGCGTCCCCGGCACCTGGCCGCCCGCATGGCTAGCTTATGCCCGAAATCATTACACGGAAACTGTATTCTATTAAACACTGCCTGGCCCGGCAAGTTCCAGCTTCTTATTGGCTAGCTCT